ACTCGATGACCTCTCGAGGTCCCTTCCAGTCCTATAATCTATGATTCTATGATTAAGCCAGCGCTGCATCCGATTGTGAGCAGAGGGCCCAGAGCGAGAATACTGCAGACTGAGAAGGAAAGAGCAGACAAGAGAAAGGCCCCAGGGTCCCGGCAGGCCAAGGAGAGGGAGATGCACCAAGCCATGATGGGGCGTCTCCCGCAGCAAACACAGATGCTGCAGACTCTTGTGGACCTACAGGTTCAACAAGCCCGGGCTCACCTCCCTCTGCAGTCCATGGAGAGCTCCACTGCAGCACCTCACTACAGCCCTGCTAACAGTCCATGTCGCATGGGGGCGCAGCCCTGCCTGCACCCCTACACCAGCCAGGACAAGCCAGCTTCCTGTACACTGACAGGAGAGAGCCACGGCTGTGGTATGGGCGGCCAAAATGGGATGAAATGGACAAGAATGTTCTTTTCCCTTGATTAGGTCTGTTCCTTTCTTTCTGAACTTTTTATCGTATTGGTTTTTAATTGCACGCCATTTCTATGCACTGGTTTTGGTACCCAATAGAATCTGGTTTGGGGACCATAATTGATCTTTATTTAGCCACACGTGCTACAGAAGGCCAGCGCTACTGAAAGCACCCCCGACTTGTTATTGTCCAGGGCACCAGAATTCTTGGGCTCAGCCACACACACAGTGTGACCATGATAAAGGTACAGCACACAGCGCCAAATGAACAGGTCCACTGACAAGCTGTTCTCATCAGAAATGGCCCCCAGCCCCTCCATAATTCTAACAGCCCCAACACGTAAGGGCCAGGTGCAGCCCTGTCCCCCACGCCGCACTGTCTGGCTCACGGGCAAAGGGCGCTTTCAAGGCCTCCCACAACCGCACAGCTCTGCACTGAACTCTTCTCTCAGTCCTTCTGTCTGTCTGGCCAAACTCAGGAGACAGCCACTCCCCCTGCACGCTAGCAGCAGCTTTTCCCCCAGTGCCTCACCGGTATTCAGCAGGCAGCTCGAACCACTGGGGTGTTTTTTCTCACTGAGAGCTAATCTTGTGAGCAAACACCACCAGTGTCTCTTCACTTGACCAAAGCACATTCCACTGGCACATCTTTCCTTGGTGCTGTCCAGGTGGCCGGAGTACACTCCCGGAGCCCGAGGAGTAAGGGGTGGGCTGGCTCCCCCAGGATCACTACGGGCATTTCAGCATCGCCAGTGACGATCCACTGAGCGGGAAGGAAGTCCCTGCTTGCAGCTTTCTGAACAGTCCTGGGTTCTAAAGATGGGAGTGTCAGGCACCTTCCCTGACCAGCCATGTTGGTGAAGCGTCCCCGTGATGCACCAGCGTTGCAGAACCACAGAAAAGCCCCTTCTGCCGATGGGCTCTGTGGCAAGGTGGCCTGGGGCCAAAATAGAGCTATACGTGCTGTCTATTGCTCCACGCTGTTCGGGAACCCCATAGCTGCAAACCCATCCACTATGTCCTACACGCTGCCAAAAGCCACAGTCCTGCAGAACAGGAGACGATGAATGGCCCTGCAGGCTTGCATGATGACGGCCTGCGCTGTGCATTTTCCAATTGCAAACTGATTTCCCACTGACCGGTAGCATGGGGCGTTGCAAGCTTCCACAGTGAAATCACCACTCGCTTCTCTGCTGTCACTGCCGCTCTTGCTCTGGTGTCCCTGCGCTGGCGGCCTGGGGTGAGCTCGGCACACAGATCCAGGACTGTGCCAATGCTCGTCATCCCAAACCTGCACCGCAATGCGATCCCACCGGTCACTGCTCGTTTCCCAGCCCAGAAGCGGTGCTCCATCATCTGCAGCTGTCCTGTGAAGACCACCAACAACCTTGAATTGGTTTTCGTACGTCCCACGGCAATCCGTCCTCCACGAAATCGTCACATTCCTTGTTGATGCGGTTCTTCCTGCAGCTCTGCAAACACCAGAGGCTTGTGCGTCCCATGTTCGCAACGCGTTTGACAAGAGTGCAGAGCGGTGCAGGCTCCACGCTCCCGTCACAGCCAGCAGACTGCGAAGTGCTGGGCGGGTCTGCAGGACTTTTGAAAAAGGTGCAAAACGTACAGCCTAGGGATGGCATTTGGGAGGACGTCGCGTGCTGGGGATTTGCTGCCTCACTCCCTGTCACCCCTGCACGAGTCGTCTCTGCCCCACGTCGCATCACCAACATTTGCCCCAAGCCAGCGTGCCGGATGATGCGAGTTCACGCTGGGACGCCTACCCATGGAGCATGGCCACCAGCCCGGCACGAGGACCCCAGCAGGCACGTGCCCGAGCCATGTACTAACTGCAGCGGCTTCGTGCCAGCGTCCTGTGCGCCAGACATGGCCTGAGGAGGCTCCGGCAGGGCCCAGAGTCAGCAGCTGGGGGAAGGCCCCACTCCAGGTGGGAGGTGCTGGGGGGCAGGACTGTGCCCGGCTGCCTGACTGGGCGACTGCTATTTGAGTTTATCATGAGAGAGGCGCTGAGCTGGGGCTGGAGGGGCAGGGGCAATTGGATCCTTGGAGACTGGGGGCCTGCCTAGGGGCTGACACGGAACTGGCGTGGGACAGGCCCGAGCCCCGAGCCCCAGCCCCGGGGATACCTGGAAGGCCTGACGCAGGCCCACGTCCTGACTCTGTTTATTCTGCCAGGGTTTCAAGGCGTCGCGGGTGGCACTGGCACGCAGGCTCTCCCCAAACACGTCCACATAGAAGAAGACGTAGTCGCCGTTGGTCAGGCTCTCCCGCTGGGCCAGCCTCATAATCTGGTGCAGCATCTCCAGGGGGCCGCAGATGTAGATGACTGTGGGGGGAAACACAGGGGGGCGTCAGTCACTGTGGGGAAGAGATGGGAGGGAAGGGGAGGTGTCAGTTTGCTGCAGAGCAGAGACAGGTGGAGGAGGGGAACAGGCAGTGTCAGTCACTGTGGGGCAGACACAGGCGAAGAGCTGATGGGGACAGAATGGTGTCAGTCGCTGCGGAGCACAGACAGGCAGAGAATGGGGATGATGTGGTGTCAGTCGCTGCAGGGCAGAGACAGGCGGAGAATGGCGGTGATGTGGTGTCAGTCGCTGCAGGGCAGAGACAGGCGGAGAATGGGGATGACGAGGTGTCAGTCACTGCAGGGCAGAGACAGGCGGAGGAGGGGGGACAGGCAGTGTCAGTCGCTGCGGGGCAGAGACAGGCAGAGAATGGGGATGACGAGGTGTCAGTCACTGCAGGGCAGAGACAGGCGGAGGAGGGGGGACAGGCAGTGTCAGTCGCTGCGGGGCAGAGACAGGTGGAGAGTAAGCATCAGTCACACCTCACTGCACAAACACATGCCCTTGCTCACACCCGCAGGTCTGGGCTCTCCTGCGGCTGGCCAGCTGGGATCTGCCATGCGGCTGAGGGCTCCGGGCCCCCTGGGAACACACCGAGCTGTCCCAGGCAGGAAAAGCTGGGAGTCTGCACAGAGCTGGGGGGACTGGTCCCAGTGTGATGCAGGGCCCAGAGCCCCGACGGCCCAGGCCTCATGGAAGGGCAGCGCACGAGGCTCTGGGCCAATGCAGGACTCACACCAGATCAGCAGAGGAATGTACCCAGAGCCCAGCCCCACCAAGTGGACGGGTTCGCAGGCACTGCCAGACAGGATTGAACCAGCAACCATCAGCCCAGGGCCCCTGACCATGGGCAGTGCGAGATACTCCAGAGGAAGGCGCAACAACCCCGCAGTAGCAGGTGTGGGATTATGTACCCCACATCAGGCCCCATCCTGGTCTCTAATTGTTAGAGATTGCTTCAAGCCCTGAGAACAAAGTTTAATCTCCCTGCCAGAACTGTTAGCCTTAACTGTACCCTGAATAGTGCTATAATGCTCAGGAATGGCCGATCCCCTTTGAAACTTGTTAAAAGTTTGGCCTCAATGAAATCCTGTGGCAGTGAGTTCCACAGGCTAATTACACACCATGTGCAAAAGAGTTTCATTTGATCCGTTTTCAATTTCCCTCCTTTCAGTCTCATTGGGCGTTCCCCCTTTCTCCTCGTGCGGGGAATGGGGACAGGGAAAGTTCCCAATCTACCTTTCTATTTAAGGTGACTACACCCCCATAAAAAACCCTCAATGCTCCATCATCCCCATCTGGACGGCACTTCTGAGCCCCAACCCCCCAACAAGTCACCCCCATGGGACAGCACCTCTGCACCTCAACCCCCCCCCCAAATGAGGCACCCTCCCGAGACGGCCCCTCTACATCCCAACCCCCCGTGACAGCTCCTCCACACCCCATTCCCCCACAACAAGCATCACCCCTCTGGGACGCCCCCTCCACACGGCCTAGGGTTGCCAGCTACCCCTTCTTTTCGACTGAACTTTCCAGTTGAAAAGGCACCTGACAGTGTCCAGTCAGAAACGCTGACCGGACACCCAACGGGCGCCGGAACAGTTGGGGCCAAGCAGGCAGGCTGGCAGGCAGGGAGGCGCTGTGAGGGAATCGGGCACAGTGCCGGCAGCGGGGGCAGCAAGCGGCCGTGCCCCCCCCCTTTGCTCCTCCTAGCGTGTGCCCGCGCTGGAGTCTCCATGCCACCTCCTCCAGCAGCGGCAGCAGCAGGGATGGGCAGCCAGGAGCAGCCTAGGCCTCCCCCCCCCCCCCGCTCCTGCCCAGCTGCCCTCCGCAACCCCCCGCATCTGCGCCCCTGCTGCACTGCCGCCAGCTCCCGCCTGGCATGGGCGAGTAGCCGGGGCAGGGTGCCCGCCCAGGGCCGGCTTTAGGAAGCGCGGGGCCCGATTTGACGGGGCCCTGGCAGGGATGACTCACCCGGCGGCGCTCCGGGTCTTCTGCGGCACTGAAGGACCCGCCGCCGAAATGCCGCCGAAGTGCTGCCGAAGACCCAGACTGCCCCCGGGTGAGTAAAAATTTAAAAGTTAGGCGCTCTTCTTTAGGGCGCGGGGCCTGTGTCGCCGAGTGTGGGGGGGTCAGGGCCCTGCACCCCCGGCTTCCTGCGATTCCCCATGACTCTCAGCCAGCCAGTAAAGCGGAAGGTTTATTGGATAACAGGAACACAGTCTACAGCAGAGCTTGTAGATACAACCAGGACCCCTCAATCAAGTCCTCTTGGGGAGC